TATATATAAATAAATAAATAAATAAATAAATATATATGTATACATATATATATATGCAAGCATATATACATATATACATGTATACATACTTACAGACATGCATACATACATAAACACACACACACATATATATATATATATATATATATATATATATTATATATATATATGTATGTAATATATATATAATGTATGTGTGTGTTGTTTTTGTATGTATGTCTGTATGTATGTATGTATATATGTATATATGTATACACATATACATACAAACACACACGCACACACACACACACACACACACATATATATATATATATATTGGTGATAAGCGATTTATCTAAAAGAACCTATTACCTAGGCTACATGCTCATGTCTTCCACTGGTCATATGATGTGCTCAGCAGCCATAATCCATCGCATACGCTAAGTACGAGCACGTAATGTATACATACACAGTCATCAATACAATATAGAATAACTGTATATTCCACAGACTGCGTAGAATTGTCTACATGTAGAGTTGGGCATACAGTGTAGACAATATATACATCACAGAAATGAACTATAAACGAGTTATATAGTTTGTACATACACAAGCTGCGTAGGGAAAACACGACACACTCACATCGATGCCAGAAACACTCTTAAGAAGACATGTATGTGAACATACCTCCAATTGCTCGGCAAGGTAGAAGGCAAAGTAGTGCACATCCTCGATGTTGCTAAACACGGTCTTTACAAAGTCCTCGTTCTTGATACTCCTACAACCTATGCCTTCCTCCTCGGCTGGGCGCATGTAATCGTATATAATCACCTCCAAATCCTCTACATACGTCTGTTCGGTTTGGATGATCTCTGTCAGGAGGAAGTCTAGCTTCTGTTCATACTCTAGACTCATCTTTTCGAGATATACGGCTTGATGCTGTACACGAATATCAATAGCACCTGTTATAAGATTCAAAAAATTACTTGCTGCGAGTATTGTATGGTTAAATCCACAGCCAAATATTATTCCCGGCGCTCTCGTGCAATGGGTATGCTGTGTATATTATAGCAGCCTCGTATTTCGTGTGAATGTTTGTAAAATTGACATAAAACTCACAGATAAACGGAGAGATTTAATCAGGACACCACGATGAACCTCAGTCAGTTACACTATAACTACAGCTAGCGTATCAAACACGGTGACACACCTATCGGCATATATCAGCAGAATGTACATACAACATAAGTATTTACACGTAAATATATTTCTCTTCACAGCAAGCTATTTTATTATGTATGAATCTGTATATTTTTTATTACGAGCAGTGCAAGCCCGCGAAAACTGAAATACCCGAATTTGGGTGTTGTTAGATTGCGTCGATATGTAATATGTGCCGTTGTTTTTTTTTAAACAAAAATGTTTATACAGCTGCTGGGAACGCAGTTTGGCATATATATAAATACGCCATCATGTAAATATATTTAGTCTCTTGAATGACATATTAGTAGAGACGACATCGTCTGAAATACCACTAGACTGTATATAAATTATTTTACTATTACAAGTAGCTAAATACATGTGAGCTATTGTAACTATATATTTACACCTCATTCTGTTGCCAGTATATCAACAAAATAGTTCATTAAATCACTCCCACCTAAGGTCTGAATAACGTTGGACGTATTTAGACGCACTATGGGTTACAAGACATATCCATGTTGAGTGTATGAGATGAGAACTGAATTTCACTATAGCAAACCAGTTGCTACATACG